TTCATGTCATTAGCACCTCTAGTAATATATTTACTGAGAAAAATGTTAGCGTGTTTTATTTTACCCACTGTAGCTTGGGCGGCTGTGGCGGAGTGGTTAGGTGAGTCGTCCTGGAACCGGAAGGTCACTAGTTCGATCCTCCCGTCCAGCCATCTCATTCGTTGTGTCCTTGGGTAAGACACTTCACCCACCTTGCCTACTGATGGTGGTCAGAGGGTCCAGTGGCGCCGGTGTATGGCAGCCTCGCTTCTGTCAGTGAGCCCCAGGGCAGCTGTGGCTACAGTGTAGTTTGCCATCATCAGTGTGTGAATGTGAGTGTGAATGGGTGAATTGTCTGTTAGTGTAAAGCGCTTTGGGGTCCGGAGGGACTTGAAAAGCACTCTAAGTTCAGTACCATTTTTTACCATTTACCATAGCTTTAAAGAAGGACTCACAATGTTATCGGCCAGCTTTCTACGTGGAACGAGTTGGTTCAACAGAAACTTTATATGTTGTAAGTCTTGATCAGTAATGTCCTCAGACAGGTTGTAGAGCAGCTTCCTGAAATGAAAGAAAACCAAAATAAACATTTTTAATGTCAGTTTTGTAACAGACMATAATTATTCAAGGGATCGTGTCTTTGTTCACTGAAGAATATGCATTAAAAAAGACACAACTGAGGTGTGAACCAGTGTTGTGTCGACACACAGAACCACGTTTTTTGATTGAATTATTCAGCGCTTTACTATTTATATGGCAACATGATCAATTACAAAAACAGGACTGAAAATAAAAGAATAAAGGAGCCAAAGTCCAACAAAAAAACTTTTAAAGACATTTAGAAAACTAGTRATCAAGACTTTAACTTCAAAATAAGCCTGTCTCCTTAAAAATATAATCCAAAACATTAAAGAGAGTTTAAATTTTTTGTGCAGTTCTGTTATTATGATGGAAAACATGGCCGATAATCGGTACGTCGTTCATTTACAGCGAGAAAATGATAAAAGTAACAGCAGCTCGTTGCAGCTGTTGGGACAGTAAAGTGTGAACAGCCCACCTGTAAGAGGAGATGTAGTTACTGGTGACTTGGTCACTGAGCTGAAGGGARCGCAGCAGACGATGCTGCTGGATGGTGGTGAGGAGTTCCGTTAGAAGCTGGGGCTCCTCAGCTGAGAGGACATCTTTCCTCATCAGAGACGAGAAGAAGTCAGTAAACGACTCCACCGAGTTTGGGTTTCGGCGCAGGAGGTCGGTGCACAGAAAAGCTGAAGCTTTCAGCTCCTCGTGGCCCAAACTTTTACCAACATCCAGCAGAAGCTTTTGGAAATCCATATCCTATATTAGAAACAATACACAAGATTATTTAGCTGTTTAGTTTGTGATATTTACCTTTTGTGATAATGAAACTTAATAGAATTTTGTTTACAGGGAACCTATAGGGGAATACATTTAATAATTTAGCTTAGAAAATGCAAAAGAAAATAATGTAAAATAAACTAACTTGGCTTATTAGGGTCAGCTGTAATAATTTATATACATGTCTTCATAATCCTCAAATTGTACAAAGATAAAAACAGAAAACGATACGAGGTTGGGTGTTTTTTTAATTATAATTTTAATTCCAAGTTTAAACCAGGAAGATAATTATTTAAATTTCATTTTATAATTTTGTTCAGGCGTTATTAATGACGTTCCTTGGGGTCCACTTTATCGGCAAAACAAACAGGAAGTGACAAGCTTAGTTATTTTTTTTAATCTCTACTAATAAATAAGCTGAATAAAATATCTGAAATCAGGAAACGTGTAAAATGTTACATTAAAGTACTGATAAACAAGCGGACACACGTCGTTAAACCCACTCGGTTTGCTGAGTAAAAAAGTAGTCCACGAAACTCAGTGAAACATGTTAGAAGAAACAATTTACCTGAGAAAGAAGACGACAAATCGTTGTTTCACTTTAGCATACCGTAKGAGCCCTGAAGTATTTATTTTAAACCTGTAAAAGGTTTACTGAAAGTTCGGACACGGTCATGAACTGCTTCAAACACGGGAGGAAACAGAAAATGAAAGTAAGCTGCTGACTCACTGACTCGTAACAGTGGGCAGTAAACCTCTCTAAAGGTGACTCACAAACTGTAGACAGGCAGAGACCTCCCCGATAACTAACAAATGTATTATTAAGTGTTGTAAAGTTATTAAAAACTACCAGCTGCCCTCACATGTGAAAGAAAACTCTTTTTTTTTTCCTGGCGGGAGGATCGTGGCCAGGGTTGCCAGATCGGATTACCACTTTCCAGCCCGAATACGAAAAACMCGCCCAACTAAAATACAATTTAAAAAAGGAACAGCCGAAACTCAGTTTTTACAGGCGTAGATCCATCTACACTTATTCATACTAAACCTATTTCACCCCTGTTTGCTATGAAATATTAAAACGCTCTCTTTAAGGGCAGATGAAGTGGTAAATTGTTCACTTGTGAGTCTTTAAACGTGCACTGTCGCCCCCTGCTGGTCAGAAATTTTAAGGCAAATACTCATCATGAGCTAAAGCTTTTCAGATGTTCTCTAATAAAAAGCTGCATCAAGACAATATTGTGCTTTTATTTTTTTAAATACATATATCTGCTTGCACAACTTAAAACACCGACCTAAACACATTCAGTTTTATAAATATAAAACAGTTTGGCTGTATTTCCTTTCCAACACATAAAGCACACACATTTGAGTCAGTTGAGTTTTGTGGTTTTATTAGAACAAGCACTATGTAGCAGCAGTGTACAGTGTTCATGGAAAGATATGTACGTTGTTAAAATTGCACTTTAGAAGGTACCCATCAGGAAATGGACAAAAACGAAGCTGACGTACTGCGCCATGATTACACTTCAAGTCCAGAGGAAACCAAAGTGTCCAAATCAGAAAACAAAAAAACCCTTTTCTTGTGAGGCATTGCAAACATTCATTGGCAAGCTAAGCTGTCTAGACATGCAGGTGGAACGATGGATGGAGAAAGCTWAAGKTTTTTTTTTCTTTTTGGGTTTTTCTCCACTATAACTCTACGATGCGAGCACTGCCCTGACCTCCACAGACACATCTCTGAAATAAATGTCATTAGTTAGAAAAGGTGCTCAGCTTTTACAGGAGAGTTTTGTTTTCTCTGGATCAGAGCAGCAGAGAATAACTCCTGCAAGCAACTAAAACTCATCTATCCTCTGTGGAGAGTGTGCAGATGTTGTTTTATTGAATTTTTTTAAAAAGGCATACCTTCTTCTTGGCATGGGGTTCCCTTCAGTTGTGTGTTTGTGAGGCATTAATAAATGGATTAAGGCACAGCGAGATGACGCTGAAGAGTTGGGAGCAATGAATTAGTGATCTGGGGGTTAAAAACAAGAAGAATAAACTACCCAGGTGCAAAGCAGATCTACCTTTTTTGGTTTGTAATCTACATGTGAGCTGTGCACCAAGCAGGATGGACTCAAGTCACATGATTTCTTTTACAGTTTAGTTTTTTTTTTTTCTGTCATCAACCTGCAGTTCAGAACAAAGCTATTCTGTTTAAATGCGCACTATGATGACCAACATGGTGTGAGGGTGATTTAAAAAAATGGAGAGCATGGGTTAAAACTTTAAAGCTTAGCTGCTTTGCAATAAATAGAAAAAACTTTGCAGAGGCGAACAAGGTAGCAGTAAATTCTCTGGGGATTCAAACACAGAAATGTTTGTACAGTAAGAATATTTGTACACTGGCTGTAGAAATAAATAAATTACTAAATAAATAAATAAATAAAAAGACTTAAATATGCATCACGACTCCTGCTTTTTACATCACAACCTGTAGGTGTCTCCAGTGTTTCAATATACACAAAGGCTGCCCATTTAGTGAAATCATTTTTTAAATAATTCACCAGTTGAGTCAATGTTTTTTTTTAGGTTATTTCCGAAACCAAACACCAAACAAATGTTGTTTCTAGACTTGCAGCTTTTTTTTAAAATTAAATTATGAATCAAACATTTTGATTGTTGAACCCAGGAGACAAATTAGGTTTTGGTGATTTCTGTTTGGAATTTGTCCGTATTTGTAACAGATAATGACATATACTTTTAGAGGTACTTATTGCAATGTCATGAAGATGTAAACAAAATCCAAATAATCTTTTTTCCCCCCTCGTATTGATGGTTAAATCTTTCCTAAATATGATTATTTGTGAAGGTCTTGTCACACATTTTAGACAACTTATGCCAACTAAATCCACTAAACGACTAAGGAAAGTTAGATATTTGATCAGTTTGTTCGCATTACAGTACATGCCTAAAAGAATTGTACAGTTGATTTTTTTAAATTCCGTCTTCAACGTAGATGTCTCCAAACTTTTTATAACTCGGCATAATTTGTCTTAAACATCATAGTGTGACAGGGCCTTAAGCTAAATTTGTAAACTACGACAAGGTACTGGGACAGACTATGATTTTTTTTTTTAATTACGAGAATGAAATCCAACAATTATGAGAAAAAATGAAGCAATGTGAGAATAACATGTTCAAAGTAGACACAGTTGTTTGCACAATTATTTCAAAGTCCTGCCACTGATGGTACTTTAATGTTGATGTGTTACAAGATTAAGTATTTCCTTATTTGTATAACTGATCCCAAAGTGTAACTTCAAAAGTCCTTATTTTAATGCAGTGGTATGGCTGCTGTGTTGCGTAGGAGTTCTCATGACTTTACTCTCATAATAACGTGAAGTTATTCTTGTACAACTTTTTACTTGTAATATTGTAATAAAATTATCATAGTCTAGACCCAATACTCAATCTTAATACAGCACATCTGGAAAACTACTGGTGCAAACCTTTTTTTTTTATTCTACACCAAGAAAAGCTCTTCGTTTGATTTCAAAGTTTGCAACAAGTACCTTTAACCAAACGCTCTCATTCTGTGGATGTGTATTTGTATTTGAATGTACAGCAGGGACGTTTTTGGTCTTGTGAAAGATAATTGTTTTTAGTTCTTTGTTTTACTTTAAAGGCAGGTCCAGTTAGGAAGGCCAACATCTCAAAGTGTCAGTGAGCTCTACAATCTGCATCACATTCTTTCTCCATCTTTCACAATCTTTTGTTTTCATCCACATTTATCTGCACCACATTCAAAAAAGGACAACACATACTTAATATTTGCTCTTATATGCCACGTATGTATTTGTCTGATCATTTCTTTAGAGATGATTTCATGTCAAACGGGTCACTTGACGCGACGACTGATCTATGATCTGCTCAATAAAAACACAATCCTCCACTGCGACCTAAAAGAAGTTGTGTCCCAGAAGAATGTTACTGCTACCACAGATTTAACAGTAGTAAAAAAAAAAATTAAAAATAAATAAAATCTGCCAATTCAAATAAATCTATTTTTTCACACAAGATAGTTTTATAAAAATACTTTTTTTTCTACATTATTTGACGATATAGTAAATGTGGCATTATGCCACTGAAAGCTGCTCTCTAAACATGCACAGTATTGTAGAATATCTACGTCATAGATTGAATCTAACCAAACTGCTCTCAGGAATGAAATGGCTTCAACTAAAAGTCGCCTATTTCTGTGACTTGGAAGGGGCGTTTCTTTTTTTTTTTTTTCTTCTTTTTTTGTTTTTGGTTTAAGGCAAGGACAAACTCGAAAGTCAAAGTAAGATCTACAGAGTTGACAACCCAGCTTCGACAAGCACGATGAAGGTGATCCTACAGGATGTTGGGGGGTGGATGGCCACGTGGGAGCTCCGTCAAACCTCGGCAGGCTCGCCGGCGGGCTGCAGGCCGCCCCTCCGCTCTGSGCTTCGCTTTGTTTCCATGCACACCGATGACGCGGCACGTTCGGGTTAACGCCCCGCTGTGCATAGTTAAAGGCCTCCTCCTCCGCAGCGACGGACGCGGGCGTCCGTGTGCTACCACAGGCTCACGGTTTCCTCCATGTTGATGAAGCCGGGGTTCTTTCGGAGCTCCCAGTACGTGTTGTTGGACACCCATCTCTCCCTGTGATTGGCATCCACCGCTTTCCTAAGGGAACGCACGAGGAAACAGAAAAAAAAGATCTGATCTGCCAGGCTTGAACAATATWATGATACAGAGGTTTTATTTTTGCACAATGCCTCAATATGCTGCGTAAAAGAGACAAAATTCATGATTTATTGAAGAAAATCCTGATTTCTTTTAGTGGAAGAAAACTCTGTAGTTAGATGATTTTTAATCCTCCCACACTAACTGGGTTTTAGAGAATTATATTTTTAGTCAAAGTTAACTTTATTTTATTGACTGTGTAGGCGTAAAGATTAACTCCACGCCTACGCAGATCTAGAACTTGTAATTTGAACAGTTTGTAAATTTTTATTTTGAAAGGGATTTATTGTTTATCCTTTGAAAGAAATAGCATTATTCTTATTGTAAGAACTGAACATCATCTTGCATGTCTTGGTTTTAAGACTTCCTCCTTCCAGACCATCATATACAAGTTCAGATTGCAGCAATTTGTTTCTGGAAATCCATTTTCAGAGCAAAAATAATCCATGTCGGTAATTTTCAGGCTTCAGAGAAAATGTCACTTCAACCTGCTGCAGCCAACTCAAATCTTGTTTTCATCAAAATGTGGAAACATTTTAAAACCATATCATCTGCAAACGTCGATACAAACAGAGCAGTCTTTTTTGTTTTTATCTTACTTCCTCTGATATCCACTATTTTTCTACCAGGAATAGAAAAAATCATGATGAGGCTCACGGTGACAAAAAAACGTGACAAGAGGAGTTACAATTTGCCTTCTCCAGGAGCGGGTTTTACAAACACAAGCTGTGATTTTTGAGCGAGACAGATTGTTGCATTTATGATCACTGTGGCAACTCGAACCGTAACATTTGGTGATTACCAGCTTCTGTCTTCATTTTACACACGATTAAAGATTTTAGCCTCAGCTAGAAGGAACAGGGCTGCAGAAGCAACAGTCAGATTATTGAGTCTTCAGAACAACAGAGACTTCAGAGTATTCATCTGATGACACCTGATTTCATTTTGGCACAAGTTTGATTAAAAGCTGCTGTGATTATCATATTCAGTCACGATAAAATGTTTTATTAAAAGGTTAAGATGAAGTACAACAGAAGCGTTGCCGTCATTWCACTGTGTTTCAGCAGTTTCAGGGCGCTGGTCTTACCTGAAGAAGCGAGGTTCATGTTTGATGTTGTTCTCCTCGTTCCACTTCCTCCTGACCCTCTGTGCGTCCTCGATGCGCTGCTTCTCTGAGGTCGCCATCTCCAAGTTCCCCTCCTCCAGACATCTGTACGAGAAACACACGACAAGCTAGACCTCGCACGCCAACGCTTTCAAAGCTGTCCTTTGCTGCTCCCCTCTGCAGAGGTCGCCACAGCGAGCAAACTTGCAGAAAAATTTCACCATGTTTTCACGCCGAAACGCCCGTCCTGGTGCAACCTGGGCACAAATCTGCAGCCTCATTGGCTTTATTTTTTGCGTGGATGTTCACATTATATGTGACCCATCATATCAAAATGAGGATTAAGTCAAATTTGGACAAAATGACCTAATCCTATTTTCAGATTCCTGGCTTTAAAAGCTACATTTTGATACTTAGATCATCCTGATATCATTAGTARATCCAGAGATATTATTTAATTTGTCTTGCTGGTTACAATAATACATAAATATTTGGTCTAAATCCTAATTTTATGTAATTTTAATGAGGATTTTTTTGAGTCATTTTAAAAAAGAAACCTCAAATAGTATTTGAATATTGAGATTTCCCAGCTGGAAAGAAACAAAAGCTTTGATAGCGCACAGGGAAAATCTCAACATTTTAAGGTGTTTTTCCTCAAAATCACAATTTAGATTGCTACTACTCAAAAAAAGTGCTTCAAAAAAGTTTTTTAGGATAAAATTTCAGACAGTTCATTGAAATGATACATTGACAAAATGATATTTTTGCAAGCATTTTAATCAAAATACTACATCTGCCTATTTCTCCATACAACTTTTAGACTTAATCCTCGTTTCGATGTGATGAGTCACATATTTGAAATGTGACCTCCATGAACTCTCCGAGGCACTGACAAACGCGCGTACCTTTGATCTGGTCTGAATCGAGCGTCGGTGCGAGGCAGGACGTCCTTCAGCTCGGGACAGAGCTCATTCAGCTCGATGGCGAATCTGGTGAAGCCGTAGTACAGCTCGTAGTCTGTGGGCATCGAACCTGATGGGGAAAAAGGCGCTTAAATCCTCTTGTAGCTCAACGWCTCGGCCGTTAAAGTGAAATCCAGTGGAGTTCAAGAGCCCACCTGGCCTCCAAACGCATTTGGCGGACGGTGGGACGCCGCAGTAAAGACCCTCGTGCCATTTTCCAAACAGCCTGTGGACCACTTTCCCTTCTTGGTCCATCACAAATCCATGGACCTCATTCACATTGGAGCTCCAATAGTTTCCCTAAAACAACAACAACTCTTAGCCTAGATCAGAGGTCTGCAACATGCATCTCTATGGTCCCTGTGCAGCAGTTCTTTAACGTTTTCACCAAAACAAACAAGATTTTTTTTTATTCAACAGAAAAACACAGACTTAGCAGGTTTTCTGTCAATAGCCTATATGCCACGGTCATTAATGACGTATTTCTGGTAAAATTCTTGCCACGCTCCTCCCTTCCACTCCCTGCTTACTGCCTATGTTTTTAGCGTKAGMTCCTAGTACTAGTCCGTGAAAAAGTCACAWAAGTTAAAGCATCTGTGATCTACTGGTATAWAACGTGAGTTCTGTTGTGTGCCGTTGTGTCCACTAACCAGCAGGTACGATCGAGTAGTTAGTTTTTCTCCTTTTTCCTTTAGATGAGGAGGTGACAGCAGWGGATCAYAGCATTACARGGAAAACTTATCTTTAAAAGCTCACRCTTGCGTTTGTAATCGGCGTTTCTAACCTGAGGATATTCAAGRGYCAGCATCAGAAATGASAAGAYGGAGGTTACAAAAGGGAAATGTACATTTATCCCCTTTTACTGCCAAGACGAGAGAAGAAAGACCTCCTTCACGCGACAGCTAGCAGGAAGCTAACACAGCAGCGGGTACAAAGGTAGGTGTGTGTGTGTGTTTGTGTTATACAGAGTATGAAATGTTTTTTTGCGACTTTGTCATGAGTTTTATGCAAAAGTAAAACCTTGTTAGAGTGTATATTACATTAGACTAAAGCCGAGTGACGAGCGCGCCCCCCTCCTGCCCCGAGCACCGAGAGCAGCAGAACATCCACCTGATAATCATTACGTTTTCAGTTCACTAACGTCGGGGAAAACAATCCAAACCATACAAGTAGCACATCAATTTAAAGCCCAGACTCTGCTCTTTCCAACAATATAAGTGTCACAGCTCTACATGAAAAATTCACGGAACAAGCAGCCATGGAATAGCAAAAAAGGCTAAATTCTGGAACCATAAACACGAACGTCTTTCCTTTGTTTTTATGGCTTTAATCCACTTTGGAGTGATTTTTTTCCCACTTGGCTGGACCTGTACGCCTCCTGTGTTAATGTTGGTACATGTAATATGCTAATTCTGTACTGTGGAGATCTTTAAGAGTCATTGTTGGGTGAAAAAATCTTTCGCTAACACTGTGTTGACCATGAACCGGAAGTGTTGGGAGTGGCATCAAGTGCTGGGCCGGATGTCTGTGGCATAAAGGCTATTTGTTTGCAAATATATTATCAATGCTACTAATTCAAGGAGTAAAACGTCAGCTGAATCATGCCAGTAGTTTGTTGACTACTTCAATAATTCAACTTCAAGACATACAGACTTTTTACTGAATTGATTAGATAACAAAAAAACAAAACAAATTTTTGATAAAATTTGGTATAAACTCAATAGTTTTTTCTTGTTTACATGAATGTGGTCTTTTTTTAACCTAAAGTGTAAAAATAATTTTAAATGTTCAAATTCACTATATAATTTTAGTTTTCTTATGTATCACAGTTTATACATATTAGGTTGTGACAAGAAGAGGCTGCAGATTCAAAGCAAACAAACAGAATGAGGTGATTTTTGTCTTGCAGCAGCGCAACGAGAGTCGATTTCGGCTGACATTTCTTACCTTAATAAAAGTGAGTTTGCAGAGACAAGTGCTGCTCTTTAAGTTCCTGATGGTGATCTCGCCGTAATGTTCGATCCACCGCCGTCCACTGAGGATGTTGTGAACGCAGGTGGTCACTTTGTTCCATTCGTAGTGATCCCCAAACCTAAAAGATACAATAACATGTTAAAGACTGGACTAAAAACYGATTCAGATGAAAAATATTCATTTAATTTTTTCATGGATAATTTGTTCATTGAATTTAATGGATTGAACAGCATCATGTGATTAAAAAGTTTTTTTTGTCCCCTTTTAAAACTCTAAATGAGTAAAGGATTTAATAAAAAATGTTTTAATTCCAAATTAGTGAATAATGTGGCTAAAAAGCATCACGACAYAAACAGAGTTTTAAAACATCCGTGGGATTTAATTATCTGTAACGRTTGACTGATTTGTCACAGAAACATATTTATTTGTTTCTTTCTTTTGATTTGGTTTTTTTTTCTCTAATTAGCTGCTACTGCTGTGACTGATTTAATGACTCTGAAGCTCACTTGTTTTTCAGGAAACTCAATGTGTATTCCAGCCATAATTAGAATTCGGATGTTGACATGAACRCAGATCAACAAGGCAAGCTGGTAATTAGAATAAACCCAGTGACCCTGCTGGCTGAGATAATTAAACAGCGCTTCTGCAAGAAAAAAAAAAAAAAAACGAGTGCTGGAATAATCCCTACACGRGGATTTACCTGGGAATATTGAGATTCACAGATCCGATGGGTAAAACTTCCATGGATTTTCCCCAGAATTTGTTTTTCCATCTTACATCTGAGAAAAGAAAACAACCAGAACATCTGCATGTGCACTTTGCCTCAAACTTCATTTAAGGTGTTTTCCATTAAAATATAGCTGGATGTAAAGGAGCCTAATTGAGTCATGCTGGCTCATATTCACTGAGCTCCCAGGAGAGACGTCTCCCATTAATTAGTCAGCTGATCTACCTTGCCAGAAGGAGAAGTTCTTTGACTCGCAGTGACAGGCGGAGATGGGAGGGTGGTGGCTCACCTTGGAGAAAAGATTGAAAAAAAAAAAAAAACTCTGACAGCTGCATTTCAGACTCAACACCACAATGAATCAACACGACTGTAAAATTTCGTTTTTGGTTTGTTCCTGAATTGAACAAAAGACAAAATATCAGTTTTGGTTCGCAAGATAAATCTGAAGGACTGAACTGTGTTGCAGATTAAAAGAAAAGCAAAGACTGATGAGCTAAAGGCTAGTCCACACATCGGCTACATCAGAGTTGTGAAGTAAATAAGTACAAATACTTCTTTACTGWACTTAAAGGCACAGTGTGTAGGATTTGTTGTTTTCAGCGACATCTAGTGGTTGAGTGGTTGAATCATCCTCCCTGGTCCTCCCCCCACCCCCAACCCCCGCTTCCAAACACAAAGGAGTTGCTACGGTGTCTCTCAGGTGTCAAAAACCTTTGATAATTCGAACTGCGATGTCTACCAGCAGCTTCAGGGCTAGTGATGTTTCAAGTGGTAAGATTATGAGCTTTAATAAGTAAAATTATCCCAGCTACAATGACAGACAACAAATATTACAATTATTATATTACAACTAAAACCATTTTTGACGCCGCCACCGCAGTTTGTCCTTCATGAGCCTTCGTAGACAAGATGGCGGTGCAAGATGGCGGCTGCCTGTAGTGGCGACCCATGACCATGGAGATATAAACAGCTTTTTATAAGGTATAAAAATAATAAAACAAGGTCTTTGTCTGCAATGATTAGACATGTTTTTTATTATTGTCATTAGTGATTATCTCAATTTCGGCTAAAAGAATTGACAAAATCCTACACACTGTGCCTTTAAGTAAATTTTTTGGGTATCTGTACTTTACTTGAGTAATTTTTTTCCACCTACTTTTTACTTTTACTTCTTACATTTTCATACAATTATCTGTACTTTCTACTCCTTACATTTAAAAAAAAGGCAATACGTAGAAAGTCGTTACTTTTACTTCATTTTTCCTTTTTTATTCCAGCTTGTTATTGTATAAAAATAAATACTATACATATAAATTATGCCTCCTTGATAGAGAGAATTTAATTGTGGTTGAATGAGAAGTATAAATATAAATTCTGATACCGTATTAGTTTGTACACAAACAAATCATGTCACACTCCAGCAGGACATAATCATTAAAAAGTAAGGACTGTACTTAAGAAGTATTTGTATTTCATGAATTAAATTATTGCATTTGGCCGCAACTTTCAAATAGATTTTCATTTTGGGGAAAAGGTTTGGGCAGCCTTAATATATGAATATAAACTGAAACAGCTGGACTAGTGCATCTTAAATTACGATATAGCCCTTTTTGCATTTGTTTTGGAGGGAGGCCACCTCCTAATAAATGTCATTATGGAAAATCTAACTGCTCATTTTAAATCAATGCTTTTACTTTTAATACTTAAGTACAAAAAATATCAGATACAGTACTTTATGACTTTTACTCAAGTAATACTCCTAAAGAAGACTTTAATTTAATTTTTTGGTAAGATACTTGTACTTTTACTCAAGTATCACTTTGTGGTACTTTATACAACACTGGGCAACATAGTCAAAAGTTGCTGTTGAACAATCTCCATCCAAACAAACAAACAAACAAACAAAAAAGACCAAGTCGAAAAATCCAGTTTACTTTTGTATAATAAAAATGAATTTACCTGCTCAGAGAAAAAACAGAAGCCCTTGTCTTCCCGAATACATTCATAAGTCTCTCCGAGCAGCGGGTTGAATGGCTTACTTCCTGCTCTGTAATAGGTGTTCGAGTAGCCTGAGATGGCAAAAGCAGCAACGAGGACCTGTCACCAAGTCAAAACAGACATATGAGGAGAATTAACTGTCTTGTTTACTATATGTCTATCAAACACTATCAGAGACCCTATAACAGAAAATAAACCATACAATACACAGAGATATTCAACTCAAGAAAAATCCGTCGTCATGATTAACTTCAGATTTAACGCGGTGCTTCTTCTTCACCATGCGCTCGAAGGGATCCTCGGTCTCAGCAGCCTTGTCCAGCAGCTCGCTGTACTCCAGCTCCTCACACATGCGCTGCAGGGTGTTGAGGGGCTCGTTCAGCTCCACGGGCATGGACACTTTGGACAGGTCTTTGCCGATGTTGTTCCTCAAGATGTTCCACAGGTTGATGTTGCTGGTGTCGGGGCAGGGGGCCGGCAGGCAGGTCCGCCGCCCGTTACGGAAGGCGCTGCCGGCAAAGTCTCCATTAGCCACTAAGGAAACAAACCCAAAACATAATTATTACAATTATCTGGTCATTATTTGATAAATTGATAATAATGGTTGTCCAGGATCCAAACTCCAGCAAACTTCGCAGCCCCCCAAAAAACTCTACAAGTCACAATATATGTAAAATCTATAAAAGCAACATTGCAGCACTTGCAAAATTTACTTTTTTGCACTTCATATTGTTATAATGTCATTCCCTGATCAAAAACATACCCATTGTTGATTTGACTCAATCATGCATGTTTGAGAAATCCTTGAATCTCCTGCAGCCATGTGGAGCTGCCTAAACGCTTGCTGGTACAAAGCTCTGCCTATTTGCACAAAGCTCCCCCCTGGAGCTCAGTCTGCAGCCGAGCTCCCGCCCCACAGAGCACCCCTCCCCCAAAGCATTGTTGCGAAGATGTGCTGATGTGGGAGTGTCAGAAATGGTAGGAGGTTCTTAAAGAGGCAAATGCCAATTTCAAGGCATTTAGATATGATGTAAAGTTAAGTTTATTTTTGGTATGTATAATTTTTTCATAAAAATTGAACTATGTGCCTGGAAAATACATAATACCCACACTTTAGGAATTTAAAGGTCTCAAAATAAAAAAAAAAAATATGTAAAAGAAAGATTGTATAGGAAGACAATGACAACATTACTTACATTAAAATAATAATAATAATAAATTCACACACTTATCTTGTCTTGACATATGTAAGCTGTGATGACAAAATGTGTAACAATGAGGATAATTTTAACATTGAGTTATTGTTATTTTCAAATTCTCCTTAAAAGCTTCAAAATATGTAGTTTGTTAAAGTTTGGTAATTTATCACCTGGATAACAACAAGCTTGTCTTTCATTATAAAAGTGCATGTTTAAAAAACTAGATTTTTTTATTGATTTGAGTGATTTCATCAGGATTACATCCACTTAAAATATGAATTCACAAGTTTCACAATGACTGTAAACATTATATGAGATATGCTGCAGTCAATATGACAGTCAACACAGAAAATAGGTTCATTTTAAGAAATATTAAAAAGTTTATAAAGCATTAAATATTTCTAAAGATGTCTCTGTTAGAAAACTTGGATTTAAAAGTAGATTAGGAAGATTATATGCTACTTTTTAGTTACTGGGAATGCCAGATAATATATTTATGCACTAATTTTTACACAAATCTCAATAATAGTAAAATATAATTAATGTTTTTGCATTTTTTCTAGTGTATCTGTGCACATCTTGACTCATTTTGCCTGCAAGGGTCACATATTATTAGTTTTCTGAGGTCTTTCTTAAAGTTTTGAGGTAAGAAAGTTCAATATTTCCATCGTCAGTAGATACTTGAAAGCCAATTTTTCTCTGCTGTGTGGGAAGTGACAGAGATAAAGGAGGGAGATTCCCTTCCACTTTCCACCCAGCTGCTTCATAATCCTGAGAAAGGCCGTCTGTACAGAGCAGCACCGCAAAGTCAACCGCCTCTGCAACACTGATAAATGAGTTTGTCAGAACAGGCGAGCATCTTTTGAATGTGACATTACAAAGAAAAGAGTGGCTGGTAGGGAAACTGGTATCACCCCGTTTTATTATTTTCTCCAGTTTGTTTTCAACAAAGGCTGTGGATGCATGTGGCGGAATGGGACCTACTTTGTCTGGAGACGTTGTCAGTCACGCTGGCGTTGTCCTCGGAAATGTTATCGCTCACATCGCTGACATATGACTCATCATCCGAGCCCTGCAAGAGGCAGAGGTGCAGAGCGGAGAGAGTCGCAAACTGTTCAAATGCACAAGACAGAAGTCAGTCTCACTCACAGAATTATACGGTCGTGGCAGTTTGCCCCCCGGCTAACAGACTGCAGCACTGTTTGTCCCACTGCAGGAACAATGGCACGAGACACTGCAGCATTCTGTCTTTATATATAGGAATGCAACGAGGTCACTGATGACCGCAGAGTGGAGCATGTTGTAGCAACTTTCTGCAAAAGCTTCCATCACCATCTGGTTACAGCCTGGATACACGGCCACAGGACAGGAAGCTTATGAACCGTTCTGGAGAATATTTCTGACTCATGGATCAAACCATGCCTGCATGTTTCAGAGATCAAAAATAAATGTAGCAGCAGTGGAAACAGGGCAGAAAGGTTGGTTAGAGCAGTTGTTCCTAAACCTTTTAGATTTTGATCCACAAAATAACAGTAGCAGGGACTTGTGCAACCATCTATTTTTGGGTGATAAATATTGGCAACAGGTCAAATAAACAAGGGCATAGTAACAATATTCATTATGCTACTTTTATCCATTTGCAGAGCAATAAACTCACTCTTTTGTAACAACTAAGGCAAAACAATTGTTGTTAGTCATTTTTTATATGTACACTGCAAAAAATATCCACCTAACCAAGTTTTAAAATTTTATATCCAGCCAAAAAGTCTTTTTGATCTTGTTTTGAGACTGATTTACTAAACAAGAACTGATTGTGTAAGAATAATAATCTTGTTTTCAGAATATGTAAGATTAAAAAGAATAAAATTGTATAGGTCTTCTGGACGGGTTCTTCTCTAATGAAACGTTTCGTCTCTCCTCCAAGAGACTTCTTCAGTCTGAGAGTTTCAGGTAAAATTCAGGCTTTTAAGCCCTGCCTCCATGTGACTGATACTCACATCACAAGGCTATCGTTGACACCTAATTAACACTTATTGTTAACGGGGGTGGAGTGATACTGGCAATGGCCGCGCTGTAGTAGGGGGACAACTGAAAATGGAGGCCTCCACCTCTGTTTAATGATGGACGGTCTTTCTTCACAAAAATGGCTTCTTTTACTCCTCTCTCAAACCTTTGCTCTGTCTGGCACAAACAGAGCAATGTTGTATATGCTGGTAAGTGCCAGGAGGACTGCGACCAGTTATACATCAGGGAAACAAAGCAGCCACAGTTCAAAAGAATGTCCCAACACAGACGAGCTACATCTAATGKCCAGAACTCTGCAGTTTTCACTCATTTACAGGCCAGCGGTCACTCTTTCAGAGATGAGGATGTTCTCATTCTTGATAGAGAGGAACGTTGGTTTGAGAGAGGAGTAAAAGAAGCCATTTTTGTGAAGAAAGACCATCCATCATTAAACAGAGGTGGAGGCCTCCATTTTCAGTTGTCCCCCTACTACAGCGCGGCCATTGCCAGTATCACTCCACCCCTGTTAACAATAAGTGTTAATTAGGTGTCAACGATAGCCAGGTGATGTGAGTATCAGTCCCATGGAGGCAGGGCTTAAAAGCCTGAATTTTGCCTGAAACTCTCAGACTGAAGAAGTCTCTTGGAGGAGAGACGAAACTTTTCATTAGAGAAGAACCCGTCCAGAAGACCTATACAATTTTTTTYTTTTTGATTTTTTTACCTGGATTAGTGAGATGCATCAGGACAATATGTAAGATTATAGTCTGAAAATTTGACTCAAATTAAATCAAAAATTTCTGCCAATGGAGTAAGAAAATTTTACTTGGTAAGATTCTTGAAATACTCGATTTGACTCAATTTTTTTCTTATTTCAGGAATCTTACCAAGTAAAATTTTTTTACTCCATTGGCAGAAATTTTTGACTTAATTTGAGTCAAATTTTCAGTCTAAGACAAATAATCTTACACATTCTGAAAACAAGATTTTTATTGTTACACAATCAGTTCTTGTTTAGAAAATCAGTCTCAAAACAAGATCAAAAAGACTTTTTGGCTGGATATAAGATTTTAAAACTTGGCAAGATGGACATTTTTGCAGTGTAATTAACTAAGAAAATCTTTTCAGGACTCCACTGTGGGTCCTGACCCCAACTTTGAGAACCACTGGTTTAGAGTTACATACTTTATTTAATAAAGCTACAAGCCACATTTAAGGAAACACAGACAAATATGAATCTGAAGCAGATTTAAACAGTTAGTTATTTCTTTCTAATTCTACGTATATTGGTGAATCTAACAGCTAACTCCACATGCTGCAGTATTTTTCTTTGGTTTTACAACTGAGGCTCTAATACCACACACTCCCTAAAAGGCTAGCAAAAAGGACAATAACTCAGTCAAATCTCAAAATATTTKGTTAATATTGGGTATGGTGGTAGCTGACTTTCATTTGTGGGCTATAGTAGGGCTAAGCCTGGTGTTTACAACAAAAATGTTCAAATACCTAATACAAGTTAAAAATACTGTATCACAATTTGTGAAATTTGTAACAAAACTGGTGTCAAACAATCTGACCAAACAGTCTTTCCAAAGGGCTAACTTTTCCCGTTTATTTAATGTCTTCCGTGGTACAGAATGATTGACAGATGTCTTGTCCCGCCCCTTCAGTTTGCTGCTCGATGGGCTAATATTGTTCAGCTCAACATCACAGATTTTAGCCAACGAGGGTGGACAAACAATAGCGTGTCTTGAGGGTATGTGGGTTGGCGTGGTCTCAGTAGGTACAACGGCAAGCAAGATTAACTTAAATTAGGTGGATTATTTCATTTCTCACCTGTTTTCCTTCATGTCTTTGGAAGAAAAACTGGAATTGAAGAGGTTGGCGGCAGATACAGTATTAAGAGTTTTTCTGTGACATTGTTTCAGAGAAAGGACTGGCTAACGGTAAGTGTAGCTAGCAAATCTCTTTTCTGCTTAAAATGATAGCTGAAACCTTGAAAGGCACAGTGTGTAGGATTTATTGAATCATCCTCCCTGGTCCTCCCCCCACCCCCCGCTTCCAAACACAAAGGAGTTGCTACGGTGTCTCTCAGGCAGTGGCGGCTGGCCAGTAGGGGGCGCTTGGGCGCCGCCCCCTTTAAATTGTTTAGATAAATGATTTAATTCTGAACTGCAAAATACTTAGAAATGTATTTATTCATACTGTGTGTCCAATAGACATGTTAGAATTTATTAAAATAGTAAATACATAATTCTATTTAATTGCTCACATTGTGCACAGTGCACACTTCCTATGTGCAGGGCGCCGTTTTAATGAGTGTGTATGTAGGCGCATCAACTTTTGGCAAGCAGGTGATCTGAGGCTGACTTTTAATTGGTTATTTAAGGTTTTCCACAGG